GATTGGGGAGAGAAATTTTCCGCGTATACGCGGATACAGATTCGGTTTCGGGTGTATTTTAAAGTCCACGGGACTCAATGTTCCGCGAAATACGTCGCTCCCTTCCCCCATCGGTTCTATAATACAGATGCCGTATAGATGGCTACAAATCCCCCAGAACTCTTCATATCTATAACCTCTTTTCATTCTCGACAACGAGGGCTCACACGCGACAGGGTAGTTTTAAACAATTCACCCTTCAAACCCTCCCACGTTGTTAACTTTATTGCTATTTCCGGATGGCCACCGTGGGAAGCACTTCGATCTCACTTAAGTCAGTGAAAATTTGACAAGGGATGATTGTAAATAACTCGTGCAACGATATTTTTGCTTCGTCAAATCCGTACCAAGATTGACAAAATCTCTTTTTTTTAATTACTCCGAAGACACCTAATTCTCACTCACTGTAACATACGATTGACATTTCAAAGACGTTATTTTTTCGGGAAAATTGAACAGCGTGAACGAAATTTTTAATTAGTTCTTGCCGAAAAGGCGAAAAATGTCTTAACGAAAATCCAAGGAAATTAAAAGAAGAAAAGAAAATAGACAAGAGTTGCGAAACGAGAAGGCACTTCCTTGTTTTTCATCAAATTTTTAAAGTTTTGTCGGAAATGTTGATCTAAATTATAAAATATATAAACTTCGAATTATCTCGAAACTTTTGCTCATTCTCGTATCATCGTTTTCTTCGAAAAATCGTCCGAATTTAAACCAACACTATTAACACGCCATCATTTCATAAAAATACACACTTCTATTCATTTACACAGCAGCGAAATAGTACCACTGCTGGGATCTGGATCGTAAACTTTCGACCGAGACAGGATGGAGACAGCAAGAGATGGTAACGGGGTTGCACTTTCAACTTACGCCCGGTTCAAGTCAATTCGATAGCAGTTAACGAATTGTTGGGGGCGAATAGAAGGGGTTTGTGGTTAACGCGAGGGGTTGACAAGGGAACGCATAATACATTGTTAGCCCATCCACCGGATTCAACCTCCCCCGTTCCATGTGCAGTAATTTTCTCCACGCAGAACTGACATCGGGGTGAACTATCTCATAATTAAAATTACCGTGCTACACGTATTACACGCCACCGAGAAATCTCGTCACGCTACAACGCGTTCGAAAGTCTCGTTTCAAGTTTATTTTACGTTCGTCCCGATTGCTGTTTCGTTACCGATAATTACCCCTAAAAATATCGGATAGGGTAATTCCGGGAGAGATGGACCGGCGGGAGAGACGAACCAGACAAGTATTTCCTACATTATCCGCCATATGTGGAACGCGTCGGTATTCTTTTGTTTTACGTTTGTTTTACGGAAAGCGAACGAGCCTGGCACTCGGTATTTTTTGTTCCATATCTGGCGGATAATGGTAGGAAATACATGCCTGGTCCGTCTCTCCCGAAATTACCCTATCGGTGTATTTCATTTGACAAAATTTCCGGCGTATTATCATCCCCTTAATCCCTTAACTTACTTCTTACGCAGAATTTTAAAGAACGTTCTTTAATTCTTACGCAGAAACTTTTTCAAAAAATATCGTTTCGAACGAATTGTTTCGTTTATCCGTTAAGGTGTTTCACAAAACGCGATGCGTTACTTTTCAAATTGCTCTTTGTTAAGTTTCCCCGTTTGAACGGTGAAAGCGTTTAAGCGAGGAGAGAAACGGTGGCGGGTAGCTTGGTGCCAAGTACCAGATTTCTTCTTCCCTCCGGTTCTTTGCCCGTCGATTTAAAACATTTGCCCCTCGCGAGACGAAAGTTTCTCGTGTCGTTCGGGCATGGGGTGCCGCGAAATCACCCTAATATTGGATTATATCAATATACGAGGCACATATATATCATATTACCGGGACTGAGACACACAGGTTACTAAATTTCCGATTTCTTCGCAGGGATAAAAATATTATAACGTTCTCCGTGATCAGCAGGTTGCGAATTGTATCCGTTTCATGGCTTAAAAGTGCTGCTTCCATTCACGGAAATAAGGATAATTTAATGGATATTAATTTCATTTTTAATATTTGCCTTACGGCACGATAAGGTACGTTTAACTCGTTACTTTGCGATAAATTAGCGAACCTTTGGTATTGATGAATAAAGTACGGATTCAGAGACAGGATTGTCCTGCCCAGTCTGCCGTCAGCGTTCAAAGCGGAAGGATCGATTTTGAGCTATTAATCAGGTTGGTTGATTTGTAAAATAGAAATTCTGTGAATTTTCCTTTGAGGCATAACTGCACGTAGCAAGCAGTTTAGAATTGATACATACAATACATTTTTAATTGCTTCAGCGTTACTGATAATGTAGATAGCGAAATAAAGTTCGAAAGACGCTCGAAATTTTTCGAATCAACAAGTGGTACAAGTCAACCGTTTCTCAGACGGTCGAAAAGTTTTTCTGGAATCGGCAAGTAGTGCGAATCAATCACGTCTCAGACGTGCCTACCAAAATTCTCCAAGCGCGAAATTCGAACGAAAGTAATGGGGAAAAAATTAATTTATCAATTCATTAAAGTTTCTGAATTATCTTCAACAACTCCAACTGAAAAATAATTAGCGTTTCTTGCATTGCTTCACAGCATTTTACAGTCTATTCGTTTCTCCCTCACGCACCATACACATTTCCTTCTCCCTCGGTGTAACAGGACAATATTACTCGTTCGTTTATCTCGTCGTTTTATTACCCGTTAACGTTATCATTCGCGTAATCACATACATTAACATTACAAATGAACTATTACCACAAGAATATTCATAAGACCGACACAGAAAACCGACCGAAACCTAGAATAGCTGGACAAGATTACACGTGTGTAATTACAATCACACTGAAATAATAAAAAAAAAAAGTTAATAGCATAGATTTGTCAATTAGACCTACATAGTACCAGCGTTAGTATTATTGGAGTTATTGGTTGTTAAATAATTAATAATCCTTATTTTAAAACTATGAACTTTTATTAGACACAAGGAAGGTACGCTTTTCTACTTGATGGTAAGAGCACTGTCTACGGACTGAGGCACTGTATATTGTCTACGACCCCGCTTGGGACCGAAGGGCCTTTTGTCACGTATCATGAACATTTAGATCTTTACTAAACAGAGGTGGTAAGGCTAAACGGATTTCTCCGAATGTATACAAAAGTAATATATACTTCCTAGTAAGGCGTTAGATTAATTTCTGTTACATCTAACTGACTGATAAATCTAACAAGTATATTAACCCTTTGACTGCGGCATGCTTCTACTCAGAACCGTCACATTATGCGGCGCTATATTTGCCCTTACATCACTGAGTCTCCCAGAGAAATGCATTTCAAGCACACAACAATATCGAAATTATTGTCGACGTTTATTTGTTACTGTTACACCAGTTTAATAAAACAGCAAGTGTATCGTAGTAAACAAACTTTATTGGTCGCGTGTATACATTAGTTTGGCCAAAAGTTTGGAATCACCTGTCAATTTACATCAATTCTTTATAAACCTGAAATTGATGTTGTGGAAACCAATAGCACTTGACCTCGCTTCGATTGATTTCAATGACAAAAAGTTGGACGAGAAATTCTTAAAATTGCTAACTATTGTCTGGAAATTTATCTGCAACCTACAATGCACAGTGATTCCAAACATTTGGCCGGTAGTGTATGTACGCCTTTGGCGGTGAAAGGGTTAAACGTTCGAGTTGAAGTCGCAACACACGTTAGATCTGAAACACGGTGCCGCTCATTACGAAAAGTTTCGAGGCTCGTTTTATCGGCGACATCCAACGAAAGGCTCTCCTCCTCCTCCTCTCCCGGCCGAAAGGGGAAGTCCAAAGAGAGAGAGTTCTGTTTGAAAGGAGGTACCGAGCGACCTCGACAAGGTCGGTGCATTAGGAACCCTTAATCGAGTAGTCAGGGTAATGACGTGTGCTCGAGCACACGGCTCACGGTGTTTAGCACTTTATCTATCTCCTCCAAGTTATTAATGACACTCGCTGAGTCAGATGCCGCGGCGAAGTGCGGCATCTTCAGAGTTTAATATCTCGGGAAATCGAGTCACTCGGCCGACTCTCTCTACTCACGCGGACTCCACCTCCTCCTCCTCTTACTTCCGTTGCTGGCCTCGAGTAGTACACTCGTGCCCAGCCGGGACATTTCGCTTCCAATATCCTTCACCCTGGCCCGAACAATCGAGTGTCGTCGCCAGTGCGAGTCGCGAACGGGAACACGCTTTCATTTCGCACGAGCACCCGCGGACAAGTGGCTGGAATATAAAAAAGAAGAAGGAAGGAGAGAAGAAAAAAGAGAGACGGTGGTGGAATTCTTTCGCGACACCAGCCCGAGTGAAGAAATCTCGCGATAGAGATCGCGGTAGAAGAAGAGATAGGGTCAGCTGGAAATTTCTCTAGCCGGAGGGGACATTCGTCAAGTTTAAACAGAGTGAACGGCATCCATTTTGTTTCCTCCGAGGAAACGTGTTCGAGTGTATCTATAATAGATCGAAGAATGCTCCTTTAGTTTTTTTTTTTTGGAAAAGATCTTGAAATTTGTGTTTGATAATTTGGAGATACGTACCTAAATACGTGGATTGTTGCAAGGTTTTGCCTTCTTTCCTTTTTTTTTTTATTCCTGTGGTAAATTTGTTACTCGTTTATTTGAAAGTACTTTCGAGGGAACATCCTGAAGGGATGATCGACGATTTTGATGAAACTTTGGTATGTGGTAGATCTCATAAATATATTCCACAGGTATCATTTCATTTACCTGAAAGTTCGAGATAGTTAATATATTTAGTCTAACATCGGGAAAATTGTTAGCGAAATTTCCAGCAATTTGAAACGCTAGAAAAATCAATGGTAAATGTTCTTCTATCGAGCTTTAACGTTGTATCGTAGTTGGAAACAATATGAAACATTAATGAAAGTTTGCCACGATACTTGCATGTAAATACAGTTAAAGATCGTTTCTAACTACGGAGTAGTCACTTATCAGAGAATAATCAGTGGACAAGCATGTGAATTTTTTATGTGACATCGTACGACTTTGTGGAACGTATTCTTAATAAACGCGTTAGAACTGGTTTCACAGCCGGACTGTCAGCACTGCGTCTAACTAAAATTTAGTCTCGTTGATATACTTGTGCAGATGTAAACGAACTGTGCAAATTTTTCGTATCCTTAGAAATTGCTAAAAAAAAGGAAAGCAAATTAATTCAGCGGCGAAACATGAAGCAGAGGAAAAAACAAAGTTGCTGCAGTATCTTACAGAAAGTGGTACGGAAATGCTGGAGCACCTTTGTGAAACAAACCTTGATGTTCTGCCGTGAAACAGGACTTCATGGTTGCAAATATATCTGCGAGACGCAACGTTCTACGATAGAAAGGTAATTAATTAGTTCACATTTATATTACCTATGATTTTGCTCAGTTTGTTAAATATAAAGAATGAATGTAACGCGCTAATATTGCAAGATATTAAAAAAAAAAAAAAAACGACTAAATTGAAGGTGTTAGGTCATCCCATAAGTTCGCGCCAAAGCGAAAAATATTCTAATGAAAATCCAAGGGAATTCTGTAGCAACGACATGAAGACCGTCCAAAATAGTGATAAGAAAATGTTTCTTTTTTTTTAACAAATTTAAAGGTGCGTTGGAAATATTGGTCTGAATTATAAAATTCGACACAAACTTATGGGATGACCTAATATGAGGAAAACGGTATGGAATATGGTAATAGAAGAAAAATGAAAGTAAACAAGAAAGAAACGAGAGGAACAGTCGAGAACAATATTAACCCTTGTATGGGCAACCATATATTTCCTTTATTAATTTTTCATGTCCTTCTGAAGTTTTCCCCCATTTTTTGAAGACACTTTTACGTCGATATCCTATCCGAAAATGAAAATGAATGCAAGCAAATTGTAAATGTTAAAGCTTGAAAGAACCGTGGATATTTTGGTTGGCCAGAGAACGGTTAAACAGATAGAAGTACGAAATTGAAAGGGTTGAAAAATGATAGGCGGTAGGAAAATAATTCGAGAAGCACGTTATTAGCTGATGAATTTGAAATTTATTTAGCCTACTAATTAAACGAGGAGCCGGGTGGTGTGCACACATTATAAGTAGATATCATTAAAGGAATTTGATTCCGCACTCGTTCCAATTAAACCGCAGCGCGATTTAATCGCGACGGTATACTCATTTCATATTCATTTCGGCAGAGTCGCGTGGGCAATAACGGTGCTGATGTCCGTGTGTATTGCAATCGGAATGCTGAAAGTTACTTACGATTATTACTACGAACATTCTATCCTCTCGGTCATCGAATCGACCCATAATGGAATATGGAATTATCCATTCCCAGCGGTCACTGTATGCGATTTGAATCGCGTGTCCCTCAAGCTGGCAGAAAAATTTGTCGACAACCTGTAAGTGCTCTGTCCAGTTTTTCGTGTCTCCACGGTTTCTTCTTTTACAGTCAGTTGAATTTCGAAAATTAATACTTGTAAATTTCGAAAATTAGAATTTGTCAATTTCGGAAATTAATACTTGTAAATTTCGAAAATTAGAATTTGTCTGTGATGAATTGAAATGTGAATTTCTAAATTTTGAACCTAATCGATTCGATAATCTGCAAGGTGTTCTTTTTTTTTTTTTGCAATTTCGCTTTCTTTTGTCGTTGATATTTCAATCGTCTTTTTTTTCCTATTGCAATTTTTAAGCTATCGTCGTTGTTTTTATTTTCGTCGCTGTTTTTAGAATCGTCTTAATAAGAAGATATTCTTTTTTGTTGCGATAGAACGCTTCCATCAACGGTGTCGAAGGAATTTATCGTGCAAGAAATGTCGTTGCTGAACACGTTACTGTACACTGAGGAATACGAATCGCAGATACGAAATAATCTGTCACGATTGCAGATTATATTCGACATGAATAATCTTTCGATTCCGACAGTCATAAATTCGGTACATCGGAAAATTCTATAAAATTCTATATTAAATATTTTTATTGATAACTAAAAGAAACAAAAGAAAAACAGTTTAATTTCTGAAAAGAAAAAATGATTACCTAAAGAAAACAATATCTTTCATAGATAGACGAATGTTTCTCTTTAAATAAACGCAGTTCGATATTGTTAAATGAACGTTCAATAAAGAAAAGCATTGTTTCCGAGAATGTATCGCTGAAATTGAATTTCAGGTAACTCAAAGTTGTCAAAATTTGCTGGAATCATGTAAATGGAAAACCCAGAAGAAGGACTGCGCCACCCTATTTCGTCCAAGCTACACCCGTGATGGAATTTGTTGCAGTTTTAATTATATCACTCGTGATAGGATCATCAATGAACCAAAGTATATTTACATTTATACACAGGGCCGATTCTAGTCTGTTAGCCGCCTTCGCGTTAGAAATTTTCAGCCACCCATCCCCCCCCATCAATATGGATCACGAGTAGATTTATAAACTAACCCAACCCAAACATTATGTTTTTATCACAGATCCATAAGTTGCCAAGGGTAAAAAAAACTATAAAAATATTTGATATATTTATTTTAATTATATTCTTTAAAGTGCACTATCGGCCGCCCCAGGAATATGGCAACCTGTGTGCATGCACGCACTGCACACCTACTAAATAGAATCGCGCCCCTGTTTATGCATATGAACATTCTATGTTATTTTCTTCAGATTATGAATTTTATTTTTGTTTCTTTTTTCTTCTTCTATTTTATGTCTCTCCTCTGTATTAAATTTATTTCGAAGTTTAAGACCACAGAAAATGTCTTCGTGCGGATATCAAAGTGGTCTCATTATCTTACTTAACCTGGACCCCAGCGATTATCATGCCAGTATTGTACAAACTGTAGGAACAAAGGTAAACTTTCTTTTGCCTATTTTGATATCTTCGGCTAAATCGCGTTTTCATATGTTCAAAATATTTTCTAACTTTGAGAAAATATCAGAGAATAGAAATCATATACATACTTCTGTTAGTAATAACAATTTTCATATATTTTTCGGAAAATTAAAAAACCCTTCGAAAGTAGAGAGAAGGAAAAGGAGCGAAAGAAGATCTAGCTAAATTAATATAAAGACAATTTTGTTGATATTCACAAGATTTTTATTATTAATTGATGCATCAAATTATGTATTTTATGCTATCCAGATTATACTACACAATCCCTACGAATATCCTGATTATGACTCACCAAGCAAATTAATAAGCATGAATAAATATTCATTTTTGACTGTTCAACCTATGGAGACCTATTCGTCAAACGACATCAAATGGACATCTCGCAGAGAGTGTATATACAAGAACGAAGGAGATATAATTAATAATGATATTTCGAAGATAGACATGATTTCCGCAAAGTATTCGCTAAAAAATTGTCTGACATATTGTCGAGCAACTGTAATTAAGAGGAAATGTGGATGTATACCGTATTATTATCCGCAAAACAGTTAGTTTAATAATATATAATTTTTTTAATGATTATTATCTTTTTCTTTAATGTAAAAAATTTTTTTTTCTAAAGAGATAAGCGAGATTTACAAATTTTTGCTTATCTTTTGCGAGTGTTTTTCAACTTTAAAATAAAAATACTTTATTACAGAGACCAGAGTATGCAATTTAAAAGATGTTGAGTGCCTAAAATCGTTCAAATGTAAGTTTGGAAATTTTTACATGTGTTTTTTTGTTTACGATTTATTTAGAAAATTATAAAAATACAATCGTGAATATTATTTAAAGTACAATATTATAATTTACAGTTTGGTATGATACATCCTGGCCAGGAACAAATATGTCACCACAAACTTTACCACTGATAGAATTGAATACTAAATACAAACCTTGTAACTGCAAGCCAGACTGTAATTTTTATCAGTATTCCGTAGAGCATTCGGCAGGACACCTTAACAAACGCATTTATTACAATGGTCTTACATATACGAATTATCCTAGGTAATTTGAACACCTTTAAACTCTACATTGAAGCAAGTATTCTTTAATGATAAATTATAATTTTGACAAACATAAAATCGCGTTTTATTCCTTACAGCAAAGGCAAAACCTGGCAAAATCAGACTATAATTCACATATTTTTCGACGACCTAGTATCTATTCAATACCGACGAGATATGCGTTACAGTTGGCGTCACTTATTTGGTAATATCAATTGTTTAATAAAATGCATAAGTATATTTTTGTTGAAATTTAAGAATGATAACGATAGAATCATTACATTTGTTTTAGCAACATCTGGTGGTCTCTTAGGAGTATTCGCTGGTTTCAGTTTCATGTCTATGTTTGAAATTGCTTATTTTTTTATTATACGAGTTTTAACAGATACATGTATAAAGAGAAGGAGCGCAGGAAATGTTAACTAAAATATTTATTATATAAATCATATATTATAAAATTCACGGTTTTCTCTTCTGTTTTACGAAATTAGTATAATTTTATTATACGGTATATCTTGCAAAAATATAGCGTTGTTTTATCGATAATTGTTAAAAAGAAATAACATTGAATGTTGCAATGCATTCGTTTTATTATTTTGACGCTTGATACTCTGGTAACTGAAAGTCACTAAGTAATCTATATGATCTTAATTCAGGTAATTGTGCAATAGAATCTGTTTGGTTTAATCTTCCTCTTTTCTTCACTACCGATTGAATTGTTTCATTCACGGCGCCCAAGAATGTTATATTGTTTCCTCCAGTTTGTAAAATATTACAAAAATCTTGTATAAACCATGATCCTATCAAATATAAATTTATTATAATCAACAGTACACCTAAAATTCTAATATGTTACATATAAAGACTTATAGTATTACCTTCCTCCTTGTGACGTACAGATACAAAACCTTGTATAGTTGACATGAATATACAGAAATTTTTGTATGCTAAAATATTTCGAACATTGTTATTTACAGGACCATCTGTATCTAAAGTGTCATTCGCTTCTCCTGCAATTAAATAGCATAGTAAATGTGCACTGAAATTTTTTACAGACCAAAATGAATTAAAACCTTTCTTACCTGTTGTTTCTCCTTGACAAGCTTGTATAACAACTATTTTAATAACATTCTCTAATTCTGCACAACAAAATTTACATTCAATTGTTTCAATACTAACTTCTTCTTCATCTGAACTAATAATGCAACCTAGGATAATAATGTATTATTATTATTATTATATCATTATAACACTTACAAGAAAGCATAATACAAAAATCACTACTTTTACCTTTAGTACCATGACTTAAAATGCATAGAAATATGCAATCATAATCTGTTCCAAATTCTTTTGGAATATCTTCTAATTTTTGAAGTATTTCATCTTTTTTAAGGTTGCTCAACACTTCAACAGTAAAACCAAATCCTTGGAATGTTTCCAATAATTTCTTGCAATCAGCTGAAGTTCCAAATCTAGTTTCAAACTGAAATAAAAATTTTATATAAAGGTATATGCAATTCCATTTATAATAAAATAAAGGTAGTTAGAAATATTAACATAGTTTAATACCTTTTTATTCACAAAGTACATTTGATTTATAATAACACAAAGACCTTTGTTCAATTTCTTTATATCTTTTTCAATATTTGATAAAACCTGTACACCTTCTCTCATAGAAAATGTTTGTAACCAAACTGTATTAGCAGAATGTACATGTTGGATATCTAACATATTTTGGTGATTTTCATGATTTTTAAGATCTTCATAAATAAGCTCCAAATCATCAAATCTCTTTATATGTTTAAGTAAATTTTTAAGATTACCACCTAAAATAAAACACTGTAGAAAATAAGCTGCTTGCAATATAAAAATACTTGCTATAAATTATTTAAAAAAAGTTTCTATAAAAGCAAAACAAACCTGTTTGTATTGAAATATAATTTTCTTGCATCCAATACAACATATGTAATTCAAGAAAATCAATATCTTCTAAATATTTAAGGTACTCTGTTAAATCACTTTTAACATATTGCAGTAACAACTTTATTCTATCTTCAGAAAGTGCTTCACATAATAAGTACAAACATTTTGCAACTACATTTATATATCTGGAACATGATCTATTTTTTGCCAAATATAATAAATTCAAATCCTGAAATGATATTCCAAGTTTACGTATGATCTGCCTATTTTGTATAACACATATTGCCTCTAATAACTTATTCTTCCAATTATCTGGATAGTGGTCTATAAATTCTATAAGTATGTAAGCTTTGTGTTCCTTATGCTTTTGTAATAAATCATAAATTTCTTTAAAACTATGTCTGTAATCATTTATCATTAAAAATAAAATAGATATTTTCTCATCAATGTCAAGATCATCTTCTATTTTTCGTAAGATGTCTCTATTTAATTTATTTTCACTTATGTTTATATTTAAAAAAGGGTATGGTAGTGCGTCAACAGATAAAAACATGTTTCATAACTATGTATTAATCCTGAAAATAAAAAGCAATAACAAATGCATTTAAATATATATAAATATAAACGAATCTGTTTACAAAAAATTGATGTAAATACTTACATAAATATCAAAAAGATATGATAGTGAAGAAAAAGCATAACTAAACAAATAAAGGCAATGCACTTTTAAAACGCCATCAGTGCAACACTTAATACTTTTACAGTGCAATTTGATCCCAACAATAACTTATATGCATATGTAGTTTTTGTTCTTTTCTGATTTACATAAAACATTAGAACATTTTTGAAACATCTTGAAATATCGTAGTCTCATTGTTAAATATCTACTGCAATCATTAATATTCGTTACTTTAAAAAAAGATTTATTGCACGCTAATTTAATAATTCGGATAAGTATTATTACGTATTAAATATCGTGTTCAAACTAGTATCTATTAAATGTTATATTTAGGCAATATGAAAAAAATATCAGATCACATTAATGTATATAAATATTTGAAGCAGTGCAATTAATTTGAATATAAATTTTTGTAAATAACCACTAAGTTTAAAACTTGAATAAATAATACATTGTATTAACGATTGTTTATATGCACTTTAACATTTCTGAATTTAATCAAAAGCACCATCTAGCAAAATATACGCGCAACAATATCGACCGTACCATAAGAAATTATAATTCGAATGCAATCTGTTTCATGATTCAACCTCCATGGTAAAATGGATGAAGGTTGGTGAAGGAACAAGTTGTGAAAACAAACGCTGAATATCGTTAGAAAGTTTTAGTAATTGGTTGAAAAGTATACTACGCTACTGTATTCTGTTCATATTCTGATTATGTGGTCATATATTAGCTGACGGTACTTGTGTTGTTTAATGTCGATGCAAAGCCATACATTTTCTCACTTTAAAATTTACAGTGACTAGGCCAAGTGCGTTCTACCAAACAGGTGCTTTTGACGTCACGTCGTCGTCTTCTCACTTATTTTATCAAAATGTGGCTACTTTAAATCATATCGGCAGTGATTAAAACTTAGTAATTCAATATTAATTAAAAAACCAACTTTGGATTGTCCGTTCGGGTTGTAGATTTGCTTCAAACGTTGCAATTTATTTGGAATTAAAAATCATGTCTAAGAGCAAACTTCACCATCAAGTTGACAGCAGTATTGTCGCAGTGAAAAGCAAAGTAAGCTACTTTCTACTTCAAAGTCCTTGCTTTTTATTTATATTATTAAATAATAAAGGAAAATATAAATATTCTCGAGTAACATTGATATTTTCCTTCTTTTTTATTTATTTATTCCATCAAGTATTTCTTTTCAAGAAAAATTTCAATTTTTTTAGTTTGATGCAGATATCATAAGATTTTCAATCAACCGAAATGAAGCTATTAGTTATGAGGACTTTAGAAAGTTATTGACTGAGCGACATGATATTGGTCCAGATTTAAATTTTCTTATCTGGTATACAGATCCAACCGATGGTGATTTATTACCTATTAATAATGATAACAACTTGGCAAGAGCATTACTTGCTGCAAAACCACTTCTTAGAATATTCATTCAAAGGAAGGGTAGGATAATTTTGTAACAAATAATTACATATACAGTAGTTACAATAGTTTAATCATTTATAAAGACAAAAAAGTTATCTTAGAAGTAAATTTAAAAAATCACAAAATATTATATAATATTTATTAATTACTTTGTATAATAGGAGATGGATTGGAAGACATAAATGGATATGGAACAATGAAACCAAAAAATTTAATATCAAGTATTCTTGGTGGTACACCTGGAAAACCAAAGTCATTGGCTATATCTAACCCGCATGATTTTAGGCAGGTATGTCTTGTTTATACAAATTCAAATTATGTATGTCATAATTTAAAATGTGTTTGAAATATAAATTTTACTAACAATAACAGGTATCAGCAATAATTGATGTAGATATATTACCAGAAACTTGTCGCCGTGTACGTTTGTTAAAACATGGTTCTGATAAGCCACTAGGATTTTATATTAAGGATGGAGAAAGTTTTCGAATATTACCACCTTCTGCAGGAGGTGGTATTGAAAAAGTTCCAGGTGTGTTTATCAGTAGATTGGTACCAGGTGGTTTAGCTGAAAGTACAGGACTTTTGGCAGTGAATGATGAAGTTCTTGAAGTAAATGGTATAGAAGTTGCTGGAAAAACTCTTGATCAAGTAAGCAAAGTTATGATATAGTGTTTATGTAGTATACAATGTTTTACTTATACATATATGTATATTTAATAGGTCACAGATATGATGATTGCCAATTCTTCGAATCTCATAATCACAGTAAAACCAGCAAATCAACGAGCTGCATTAGCTGCTCCAAGACGAGGATCATTTTCGCGTAATAGTCAGTTGTCCTCTGGAAGTCATCAGTCTACACAAAGTGCTGCAACTGGTAGTGATGAAGATGCAGATGAAATTGTAGATTTAACTGGTGTAACACTACAAGATGATGCAACAACTTCTTCTTCTCAACATCATCATTATCATCACCACCACCATCATCATCAAAATCACTTTAATCATGATCAAGGTGTTTTACATTTATAAATTTTATACACTATAAAATTCTATTCACATTATGTCATGCTCAATTGAATATTGGTCTGAATATTCATCCATACGAAGAGGATATTTAGAAATAAGTAAAAGTATAACATGACAATAAGAAACTAAAATGCTGAAACAAATGAAGCATTGTAGATTCATGTAGTTATCATTTAACTAATTTAATAACAATTTAGTTTATTATGACACAGAAACGAATATAAAATTCAGATCCAGAGGATACTTCTACAAAAGTATTATAGTGTCCTTCGATATATTTTCCATTGATATTTTTTGACGTTATTAGTTAAACTTACTATATGAACACTAATTTGAAATTTAATGTTTCATAATTAAAATCAATTTTTCAAATTAAAAGGTATTCTGAATGTGCTTCATATGTAAAATAAATTGGTAACATAAAACTCAAGTTAAAGTGAAAAGCACGTCTTTTCTTTAGAGATCAAAATTATATTTTTTAATTTTGACTTATTCATTAATATGCACTGTTTGTTATAATACTTTCCATAGGCAGATATGAATAGTATTCACAGAAAGTATTAAAACAAAACGAATGTAATTAACAAAAGACATGATATAATTATGACTAAGATTTGGTCATAGAGTAAATTCTTTACTTTTAGTTCAAAGCAAAAAACTTTTAATTTTTCTTTATTCTGTTTATGTGAGATATTTAAACACAATATATATTTTTTCAGTATATTGGAAAAATATATAGTGATATGAATACTGACTGTGTATAAAAGTATTATTGGAAGGCAGCAATGATTTTGAAGTATTAAACCAATACTTTTAGTACTAATATTCAAAACCTGAAGTGTACTTAAAGACCATTAAAAAATAGTGGAATGAACTGCAAAAGGAGATAAAATTTTAAGTAAATAAATGTCTTATATTTTTTTTAATTGTTTTTTTACAATTCTCAGAAAAATTGTAAAAAAACAATAAAAGAAGTAATCAAACGTAAAGTAAACATAATCAGTCATTAATTTCATTGGTATTTTGTTAATCATTTCATAGCACATTAACTTCTTAATTGATTTTAATATCTTTTTGTATATATAAAGCAGATAATGAAGTTCAATAATTTAATTTATCGTTATAAGTAGAGGCCTTTGTTCAATAATAAAAAATGTATATAACAGTAACTTAAGAGGGCAAAATGCTAATATGAATATTTCATTTTTAATCGAATATAAGAAGTAAAAAGTCAAATGGCCTTATACTTAGATCATTCCAAATGTTTTTTGCAAAAATGCAAAACTGGGGTTATTCCTACCATAATGCATTCAGACACGTCTACTCGTGTACGTATTCTGTTTATTCTACTGCATGTTTAGAGTGTTGAAGTTTTTGAATTTTAATTCCATTTTTATAAATGTTATTTGTTGTCTAATTGAGCACTAGATATTAAAATATACTTTACAACTTTTAGATGTAAGAATTTTTAAGATTACGAAACATATTTATATACATGTATAATATTTTCTTTATATATATTTGTGCCTTCATTGTTCCGTCTATAAATATAAAACTGGATTGTGATAAATTATATCGCATTCCATTTACATAGTATTTTTGTAGTGCAAGGAAATATACAGTGTTTCAATAATTGTGTCTTACTATTTAAAAGAGAAAGGAACATATATAGCCTTAATAGTTATACAATGAAATATCTTCACGTTAGTTTAATTATACTTTCTTAATAGACTGGAAGAAAGATATATGTGCATGAAGAAAAGGAAAATCTTACTGTAACACAATTATAAATTGTTTTCTACTTCAAAATATTTTAATTGCCAAATTAAGGAAAACTATTTCTATCATGAATGTAATTATTTCCAATTTTGCAGATTCCAGT